TTTTTTTTTTCTGTCAGAGCGTCAGTCCCTTTCAGCTTACTAGTAAGAGAAAACCTCAGACTCCTCAGCTGTGAACCTGATAGTGTGGAGCACCTTCCTTTCGGGCACAATGGTTTGCACTTGGATTTCCTGCTGAGCAGTCATAGAGGAAGCTGAGAAGGGGTTGGTGACTACTCTGGGCCAAACATCAAGAGCAGCGTTTGGACACGAAACCACCTCAAAGCGTAGTGACTTAAGAGAACAATCTATTATTTCTCAAATATTTGTGAGTCAACCTAATGATTGTCCAGCTTCACATGGTGTTGGCTGGGCTGCTGACACGGCTAGAAGGCCTGAAATGGGCTCCCTCACATCACTGGTTTGTAGTGTTGGCTGTTGGCAGGAGACCCTGGCTGGGGCTGCTGGCCAGGGGCCTTGTTTCTCCTCTGGGTGGGTCTCTCCATGTGGCTGGTTGGGCTTTCTCATAGCATGGCAGGACAGAGTATTCCCAGAAGCCAAGGTGGGAGTTGCAAATCTAGGACTGGCCTTGGAAGTTACACAGCACCCCTTCTGCTAAATTCTATTGGTCAAATGAGCTTATGGGGCCAGTTCACATTCAATGGGGGGGTGTGTGTGTGTGTGTGGAGATTGCATCTTTTGAGGTGGGACTGGCAAGGTCATACTGCGAAAGAGCGTGTGGGGCAGGGGATATGAGGTCAGCCATCTTTGGAGGCACAGCCTAACACAGGGGAACAGTTGTATTTCTCCAAGTTCAGTGACCCCTGCCTGCATCAGAATCTAGAATAAAATCTAGATTTCTTAGTCCAGCATTCCAGATGATCCATGTCTTGACTCTTCTGGCCTCTCATTGACCCCCTCACTTGGCTTACCTAACTTTATACTCCAATAATAGCATATTTCTTGGCGCTCCCTTGCACAGAAGCTGTATGATTGACTCCACACCTTTGTCCGTAATTGTTCCGTCTGCTTCGAAGGTCTTAACTTCTTCACCTGATCAAAGAGTACTCATCTGTAGGGTAAATGAGTTAATCAGGCTTTTTACGTCCTCCCGCCACTAGCCTCTACCGGCACCTGTGGTCTTGCAGGCCCTCCCATGATTATGGGCACCTGGGCCCTGAGCACGGGCGCGTGCATGTGTAAGTGCGGACACCTGTGCTGAGAAGCGAAGGCTAAAAGATGGCGTCATTCTGAGGCAAGAGTGAGACTAATGGGAGACTACGCAAGACTGAGAGGGAGCGCGCCAGGGAGAGGTGAGAGGGCATGGAGACTCACAGGGCCAGGGAGGCTGCCTGCCTGCTTGCCCACTGGACAGCCTTTAAGTTTCAGCCTTGTGTAACGTTTTCTAGGAAGGCTTCTTAACCCCTCCTCCCACAGATGTGTTATGTGTTCCGATAGCCCCACACAGTCACCCCCATCCTAGCATTTAAGAACCTGTAAGGGCATCCCTCATTTGTGTGTTGACTTGACCTGACCATGAACTTCTCAGGCAGGGATTTGTCAGATCCCATCTCTGTACCCTAAGTGCTCATTTGCTTAACTAAAGTGAAAGTGTAATAGTGTGACGGTGAGTTCCTCTTTCACCTACTCCTCCTTGAAGAATGTGCTACTTAAAATATGTTTAAAAGTCCACCATTTTCTTCCTGACCAATCTGTGTGACTTGGATGTTTGCTGTTCCTTGGAACAAAGTACTTGAGTGAAAGTGGCAACTCCATTCATTTGAACTGCTGCAACGTGTGCCAGAGACGGGTCACTAAACAGCAGACACTCATATCTCACAGTTCTCGAGGCTGAAGAGGGCCAGATCAAGGTGCTGGCGGGGTCAGCTCCTGGGGCAAGCCCTCTTCCTGGCTTGCAGACAGATGGCCTTCTCACCGTGCCCTCACGTGGCGTTTCCTTGGCACCTGATCTGAGAGAGCGAGACCAAGTTGTCTGGTGTCCCTTAAAGGTGCTAATTCCATCAGGTCAGGGTCCTGCCCTTACAACCCCCAAAGGCCTCTCCAAACACCATCAACTAACTGAGCATTAGAGCTTCAACATATGGGGGCGGTGGAGGGGGAACACAAACATTTAGTCTGTAATAGCGGGCTAAACATTTTTTTATTAGCTTTTTTAAATATATATATTTTTTGTTTTTTGTGTTTGTTTTTTTAATTTTTTTTAAGATTTGATTTATTTATACAAGAACCGGGGTACAGGCCAGATGTGTGGGAGGGTGAGAGGATTCACCAGAGACAGAGCGGGGAGCAGAACAGGCAGACTGACTGAAATACACTGCTGAGGGGAGCAGCGGGCGAGACAGGAGAGGTCTGCTGCGCCATGTGGGTGTCTCCGAGGCCAGCCAGGATCGAACCGGCACTGCGGAGGCTGCGGACAGCTTCACAGTGCTGCGCTCAACCGCCTGCGCCACAGGGGAGGCCCATAAACATTTGACGGTAATTCTGGAGAACCCAAAGCCTAAAGGAAGTGGAACTCCAGCGTGTCAAGATCTTTCCTACTTCCTCCCAGCCTTCTTCAAGTTGGGGCCCTTTCACCCTAGGCTCATTGTAGGGTAAAGAAAATGTCAGGCTTTTCTGCCCTTCCGCCATCAGGATAGATGATGGATCCTTGTCCTGAATGCATGCCTGATGGCGGGCACCTGGAATAGGGTGTGGGCATAGGTAGATGGGATTCAGCTGAGCTAAGACTGTGCTTTTTAAGGGCGGCGTCATGGGGGGACACTAGTAGCAGCAGCAGCAGCAGCAGCAGCAGCAGCAGCAGCAGCAGCAGCAGCAGCAGCAGCAGCAGCAGCAGCAGCAGCAGCACCAGTAGCAGCAGCCGCAGTAGCCGCAGTAGAAGCCGAAGCAGAAGCCAAGAAGCAGCAGAACGAACGCCAGAGAGTCCAGATAGAGTGAAGACTTGCTGGGGGTTGGGAGGCCTGCCAACCTCCCAGCCCCCCAGCCAGCACCCCTGCCTGCCATATGCCTGGTGAACCTCAAATAAAAAACCTGCAAAACTACTGAGGACTCTGACTCCTCCTTTACCCGGTCTGAATGGGATCAGAAAACCTGCACTGTGCCCAGTCCTGCCCTTACACTCATCCACTCTTGGGTATAAGGCGGCTGCCGAGGCACCAGGAATCCAGGTCTCAAGGTTTAGTCTGAAGTTACTGGGTGGGCAGGGTCTGGGATGGCAGCTGGTGCCTCTCTGTCTACAGCCCTACCTTTCATCAGGAAGCAAACCATTTTCTTTATATTTTCCTGGCCACACTTGGGTCAGAGGTGTCTGTCCCTACACGGGGCGGTCCAGCTAAGGGGCTTAGTCATTGTTTCCACTCCAACTGAGACGGGAAGGGTCCTGGCACAAAGACAGAACTTTGCTGTTTCTGTTGTTTTTATCAAGCTGATAAACAAGAGGTTAAACAACCTGAAGGCTGTGGGGCCAGACACCCGCTGCCATCAATTTCCTTGGCCCATGGGTTTTATTACTATTTTCCCCCAGCTTGTGCATTCCTGAGCTATCTCTTTACAGCTTATCAAGTTGGTTGTTGCAGAAGGGAGTAACACCCCTTGAGAGCAGACTGGTTTAAAATGGAGCTGCTGGCACAGGGCCTCTGAGAGATAGTCACCCACAAGATGGTCACCAGCCTGTTCAACCATGGAGCTGTAGCTGAGTGGTGCCCACTATTAGCAACAATAAATAGACTCCAGGCAATGGACAGAGATTGAGGCTGTAGAATGAGGCTCTAGGCAAGCCTACGGCCCTTGCTTTCTCAGCCAGTAAAGTTTATTGCCTTTGTTCTCAAATGTCAGTCATAATCCTACAAAAACCCCTGGCCTTGGCACCTGAGGAAGTCTCTTATGCCCAAAGAGGTGTCCAGAGTTCTTTTCTGGGTCTTTCCCTAATCAATAGGCTCTGATTCCCGGCCTAGCCTGGCCAGTGTCTGTGGAGGCCTCTTTTCAACCTTGGCCACAGGGCCTCAAGAGCCTTTTCCCTGTGTGGGAGCAGGGTACCTTGGTCCATCCGTCTGACTCCCAGTGGGTGGAACAGTGGGCAGTGGGTGGTTTACTCCCAGCAGGTCCTACTGTGTCGTGAGAGAGTGGGATCCGGCCCCCCCGGATCCTCCCCCTTGTCCAGGGACACTACCCCAACAAAATCACTGTCCAGTGACACAGCCTTGAGAGGGGATGAGCTGGTAGGTCATCAAATCCCAGCAAAATGAGTACGGATGGAAGCCTAGTGCAGGAAGCAGAAGTCCTAAATGCTTTCCTCATCAGATATTGGCTTGATTGTCCTGGTGGTGATTTCACCAGCCGAAGTTAAATGTTACTACTCTTAATATAAACCAAGGGCGGAAGTTCTGAGGGTGGCATCAGAACACTCGGTTGCCCTACAGATGGCGGGGAGGTGGGTTTGTCGGGGCGGCAGGGCGGCAGAATGGGTGGGGGAGGAATAGCTGAAATGTGTGCCCTTGCTCAAGCTTCAAGATGTCAAGTCCAGGGACGCCCCGGGTGGGGTGGGGGGGGGCGGAGCAGGGCCTGGGCGTCCCTTACTCCCCAATTTCACTAGGAAGGAAACTTGAGAGAAACAAATCGTTTGTCATCCTTGAATTTCCCTCAGGTTTTTAAATAGCCCTGGCTGTCTAGTCAATGCGGTTGTTTACCGAGCAAATCACGTCCTGCAAAATCCGGTTGTAGATTTTGACCCCAAGGGGCTTGGGAGCGGTCTAGGAAGAGTCCCGCCCCCGCGCCCCGGCTCCCAGGCGGGCGCCCCGGCAGGGCCCGGCGGGGTCGAGGGGACGCGCCGGGACCCGCTCGCCTCGACCCCGCCCCTCCGCTGCCGCCCCCTGCCGTTCCGTGCACCGACGCCCCCCGCCCCGCCGCGCGCCCCTCCTCCCCACTCCCGGCGCCCCGCCCCCGCCCCGCCCCGCCCCGCCCCGCCCCGCCCCCCCCGCCGCGCGCCCCCTTGGCCCCTCCCGGCGCGCCGCCCCGCCCCCGCGTCGCCCCCCCCCGCGCGCGGCCTTGTGGGTACCGCGGGGCCGCCAGGTGACAGCTAATGGCGGCGGCCGCTCGAGCCGGCGAGCGGTGACGCGGGGCGCAGCCGGTAGCGCGGCGGGACCTCCCCGGGCGCAGCTCCCCTCGACGGCGGCTTCCCCGCGGCGGGCTCGGAGCGCCATGGAGCGGCCGGCGGCGGCAGCAGCAGCGGCAGCAGCGGCGGCGGCGGGTAGTGAGGGCGGCGGGGCCCCGGGCCCGGGACCGGCGGGCGCTCGGAGATCCACTCGGGTCGCCGGAGGCCCCTCCGCCGGCTCCCGGCAGCCCAGCGTGGAGACCCTGGACAGGTAAGCGGGGCCCGGGCCGCCGCGGCCGCCCGCGCCGCGATCCCTAGGGCCCGCGCGAGGCCTGGCGGTCCCTCCTGGCGACCCCCGGCCCGGTCCCCCGGCCGGCCCCTCACTCCCGTCCTGCGCGCCGGAGCTCCCCGCACCCCGGAGCTTCGCTGCCGTCCGGCCTCCCCCGCGCCCCCGCCTTCTGTCTCTCCCGGCCGCCAGACTGTCCGCGGCCGGCCGCCCCGCGCAGGGAGGACGTGTCACCCGGGGCTCCTCTGTCAGCGAGGCTTGGCCGCCCGTGGTCTGAAGACCCAACTGCCGCCGCCGCTGCGCGGATGTCCGCTGGCGCGGGGCGCGTGCTGGTGGGGGGCGGCACCCGCGGCTGTCGGAGCGGGCGCAGGTGCAGGCGGACCTACCCTGGTTGGCAAAGCTGGCTTGGCAAAGTGCCCGGCGGTGCGCTGCACGAACGCACAGGGCTTCACCTTTCAATTCCTCAGCCTTGCAGGGAGCCGGTGGGTGGTTTTCGGGAACAGAAACGCCCATCCCTCGGTAGGCAGTTGCAGAACCAAGATCAATCAGCTCCTGGGAGGGCCAGCTCAAGGCTCGCGGCCCAAGGCCTGGGCCGGCCCACAGCCCGGAATATCCCGTTTCTCCACCTCTGGCCGTGGCGCTGACACGGGTGCAGTGAGTGAGGCCAGGGGTGTTGTTGTAAGGTGCTGGGGCGGCCACGCATGTTCCTTCCTGCCCGTCTTAGTCATACCAGTGCGATGAACTTGGGGGAGTTTCCAAAGGCAGAGGAACAACAAGAAACACTCCTTTTGTCTCTCCCTCAGTGTGATGACAGGGTATTTTCTGGAATCGCCAATACTCAGCCTCACTGAAGGTGAACGGCAGCTCAGAGGATGCAGGGAAGGGGCAAGATCCCACTCCTCTGCCAGGCGGGGGTCAGAGGCCAGCAGGAGCCCCAAGCCCAGGGCGCTCTGGTTCGCCATCTCGTGGGTCAGATGCAAGCACAGCTGCCGCTTAGGTGGAAGGTGCTCAGTGCCACGGCTCTCCCTGGCAGTCCTCCCAGACGTTTTTAAAGAATTTCAGGTTCCCACCCCTGAGATTCTGACCCAGGAGCTGGTGGGGGGGTGGGGTGGTGGGAGTTATTTCCTCCCAAAGTCCTGTGGTACTTGGACATGGGGTACTTGCTTTCTTTTTCCGAGGTGGCAGTGGGGTGGGGCCAAATCGGGGAGCATACTCTAAGCGAGGTCCTCTGACACTCACACCGAAGGGTGAAGAATGACAAGTTGGTTACTAGTCAGGCTGGACAGGGCGTTTGGGCCCTGGTGAGCAGAAGACGTGAGCGCAGATGCGGGCAGGTCCCGAAGGGGCTTGAGTGCCTTCCTGGGGACTTGTGCTGGGGCAGGGTCCTGCATTCTGCATGGCCGGAGTCGGAACCCCCTCCAGTGCTCCATGGACATGCACATTCTGGGTCCCCCCCCCCGCCCCGGGACAGAGCCGGGACCTGTGCTTGTCATGGCTTCAGCATGGGTGGTGTGGACAGTGCAGTCTGGCCCAGGGCGGACCTGATCTACTGTGGCGCCGGTGTCGTTATTAGCGACATCCCCCTTTGACTCACAATAGTGTCTTCGTTCCCATGAAAAATTGATATGGTCACCCTGGCTCTGCAGACCGCAAAAGGACTTCCTTCAGGGGAGCTGCAGGATGGGGTTGACATGGAAAACGACTGCTCTGCAGGAGTGAGGCAGATGGAGGCAGGGGCCGGCTTAGCGGGTTTCCAGGTGTGCACAGCTCAGTCATTTGTCCTCCAGGTACGAGCACCTGCTCCGTGTCAGGTGCTCTGCTGGGCCTGAGGACATAGCAAGGGACACACCCCGTGCCCCGCTCTCACAGAGTGGATGTTTGGCGGGAGAGGTAGACAAAGAGCAAGTCAGCTGTGTTCTCTGCTCCGTGGTGATGGGGGCTAGGGCAAAAACATCAGCTGGGAAGGGGGTAGACATGCTGGGGTCCTGCACCTTGGGAAGGAGTTGTATTTTAGGTGGGAGGGTCAGGCAGGCCGAGCTGACAAAGGTGAGTAAGGCCCCTAAAGAGGCGAGGGCACTAATCATATTGATAGCTGGGGCCAGAGTATTCCAGGTGGAGGCCTGTGCACTCCGGGGTGAGAGGGGAGTGAAGAGTTCAAGGGTTATCAAGGAGGCCGGCGTCATTCGTAGGGACGGAGGGGACAGCCGGGGGCGGTCAGAAGTCACAGGGGCAGCTGGTGGACAGTCAGGGCGCCTTGGGAGTTTGGAAGCAGAGGAGCAGCCTGCCCTGGTTGGCTTCGGTGAGCGCTCCAGGGCTGCTGTGTGGACCACGGACTGCAAGGGCGGGGCAGAACAGAGAACAGGGGTTGGCGGCCTTGCAGTCAGGGAGGGAGGAGGGTCTGCTTCTGGATACCACTGGCAGGAAGCCTCCAGGGTGGAGCCTATAGGGTTGGCTAAAGACTGGTTGTTGGGCAGCAGAGAAGAATCAAGGAGCCCCCAGGTTTGGGCTCATGGCAAAATGGTGCTGCCAAAGAGGAGCCGCAGTGGAGCCGGATGAGGAAGCTAGCAGGCTGGCAGCTGAGCTTGGCGGTCAGGACTCTCCGGCGGCCGGCTGGGTATCCCGGAGCAAGTGTCAAAGAGGCAATAGGCACATCTGAGCCTGGAGTTCAGGACTGGTGTCTGGGCTGCAGACCCAAACTGGGGCATCATCAGCCTATAGATGGGGCTTGAGTTCACAAAGCAGGAGGGGAACACTGACCGATGGGAGTCTGGGAAAGGGAATTGGAATAGGCAGATGGTCAGGACACTCACCCATGGGCGCCCCAGCGTGGTGAGCATTCAAGGTGAGAGTGAAGGGGTGGGCTCCAAGGTGAACCCCGGCTTGGGACCCGGGTGGCCTGGGTGACTGGCTGTGCTTTTCTCTGACTTGGGAAATACAGGCGGTGGGCGGGGTAGATAGGTCGGGTTGGCAGGGCCTCTGGACCATGGGCCTCCCCAGGCTTCTGAATACTGTTCTTCTCTTGGTGACAAAGCTGCGGTCCTGCAAGAGGATGTGGCTTGCTCAAGGCCACAGAGCGAGCTGGTGACAAAAACAGGACTTGAATTCAGGCCTCCTCTCTATCAGCCACTCACGCTAGCAGGCTGTTCGGAGCTGTGTTGACTGGGACTTCTCTGGTTGCCGGCGGCATAAAACAAGTCATTCTAGTTCAAGCCAAGAAGTGTCCTGCCTGACATCGCCCCTGCAGATGGGGCTCCAGAGCTGCACACTCTGGTCAGGGCCCCTGTGGCTGCTTAGTTCTTATCTCCGGTTTTTATCTCTGTGGGTTCCCCAAGGTGGGGGTGGCTTGGGGCATGGGACACATCCCTGAGCACCACAAGGGTGGGTTCCAAGAACTTGAGCCAGATGGCTCCCCTACAAGGGGGCAGGAGGAACAGGGGTTCAGCCCCCTCCTCCGCTGGGGAGCCAGGAGTCAGATGGCAGCCACAGGTCACCCCCAGGTAGGCCCCTGCTGTTGGGTTTACAGTCTGGGTAGGTGCTGGCAGAAGGAAGCACAGCCCCAAGAAGCGTGATGAGAGCAGGCAACAGGGGTGAACTAGTCTCTACCACGGCCCCAAACTCCTCCCTTCCTCTTCCTCCCCCCGCCCCCAGCTAGAAATTGTGCTGATTCTCACCCTTGATGGGAAGGCCTGCCTGAGTTTCAACCCCACAGGCGGCACTGGGCAGGCTTGATGAGAGACTGCAGTTCAGACCACTAGTAGAAGACGGCAGTGGCCTGGCACCTCCTGGTATGCCTCTGTGGTCTGTGGGGTCAGGTGAACACTGCTCAGCCACTTAGCAGTCAGGTGACTGTGGTTCCACCCTGGCCCCCAGCTTCCCGGGCTGTTCAATGGGTCACGTGCACTTGGGGACTGGTTTTGGGGGTGGGTGCTGAGTGCTAGAGCACATGCAGGCAGGAGGTGCCACCGTTGCTGTGTGCTGGTGTGTGCAGTGCACCCCTCAGCGCCATGAGCTTGTTGGGCACTCTTGGTTGTGCCCTGTCCTGGAAGGAGGGCCCCAGTGGAGCTAGATGCAGGCTGGTGCCTCTGTGCCTTAGTTTCCTCATGTCAGAAACCAGTTGGCTAGTGCCTGTTCTGCCTCCTTACCACACCATGCTTCTGAGATAACAGACTAGAAGAATCTTTTGCGAATTGTCAAATCACTTATAAAACCTAAGGCAGCCTCACGACCACAGGCGAGACATCATTTTTCTAGTCTGTTTAAAATCATAGTCTGTTTAAAATCTAGTCTGTTTAACTTTGTTCCATTAAGAGTCACTTCAATTCACTTGGAATTACACTATTTTCTAGATTCAAAACTACCAACAAAAAAGAATATTTAAAAAGCATATGCTATAAGATAAATATTTCACTTTAGAATTTTCTGTATATAGAATGTTAAGAATGTTCACTGTCATTGTAATAGAGTAAAATTCAACTCCACGAAATGATAGGGAATGGCATGCTTGGCTCTCTATAGTGTCTAGAATCTTAAACTTGAAAAAAGTTAGTGGCCGTATTTAAGATCAGCATGGAGCTAGTTGTCAGTGTTTTAGTTCTTACATTAAATGTAAAGGTAACTGAGTACTCTAATAAAAGTTCATTTTCTAAAAAACGAAATGTGCATATATCCCTAGTAAGTGCTCATTAGTCTCACCTGGAGCCTGTGTGTATTAAAATTTTTTTAATAACATGATTTCTTTTAGTCCTACAGGATCTCATGTTGAATGGTGTAAACAGCTTATAGCTGCCACAATTTCTAGTCAGATTTCAGGTTCAGTGACATCAGAAAATGTATCCAGAGATTACAAGGTAAGCGACGCTGAGTTCTTAATTCATTTCTCAATATGCCAGATAGCCAAGAAGACTTGCAATGTTAATTCAAGGGCATTTTGGCCCTTTGATGCTCATTTGGCCATTTGCTTAGAAATGAGGTTCTCTGTTGTAAGACCTGAAATTTAGAAGAGGAATTTTACTGGAATCTAGTGTATGTGCTCATAGTTTTATAATTGAAAGGTAAAGGTGTCTTTAGATTATGATCATTCTTTAAAAAATCCAGTTCCATTATTTTAGAATAAATGTGTGTATTTTCTTTGTTAATATTATGAATTTTAGAAAATATGTGATATACAGTGTTTCCCTAACTTGCAAACTGAGTATTCTGCATTTCCGTGATACTAGAAAGAAAAAAAGAGAGAGAGAGAGAGAGAGAGAAAACTAGCAGACTCTCAAAGGAGTGTTGTATGGGTACCTTCAGTTTGCACTCCCAACCGAAGTGAGACATCTCTTCTAGGATTCCTTGCTTATTCTAAAGCTTAGAGTGATAAGCTCTTTGTCAGCAGAGACTGGGGCGCTTTTGCTCCCCCCTGGTGCCCTAGCACGGTCCTAGAACATAACGTGTGCAATAAATACTTGTTGGCTCATTTAACAAATAAATAATATGCCTGGCCCTTTTTCTTGAGGCCCCACACAAACTGTTTTAATGTGCGTAAGCTGTTAACAGGTGCCCGAGCCATGTTTACTTTCAGTAGTAGTGTTTGCTTGGATGGAGGTTTCAGGTTAATGTAGCCATTTCTGCGTGCTAATAACAAGATACTTGATTTTCACAAGTATGCCGTGAGGCCTCCCTCGTCAGCCATGTCTGAAAATCACGTCCTTGCTAGACAGCACATCTTGCAAGCACTGGAAGAACAGCAGTAGAAGTCCTGTTCATTCATGATAGCCGCCCCTCGCTTAAGGCCTCTGACCTCAGTTCCTCCTCAGGCTATACTGTAATAAGTATGGAAACTGCGTCAGGAGGTCTCACCATGGAGAGTGGGCTGCCCTGCTGGAGGGCTGGGTTGTAGTTAATAGGTTTCCCTGTGCTCTGCTTTTCACGTTTGCCCACATAGGAGCTGAGGCTCTTGGTTCTCAAACCCCATCTGGGCGAATAGGCTATCCCCAACCGAGGGAAGTGTTTGCTGTCACCGAGGCCTCAGTCACCGAGGTGACTGAGCAGCTGCTGACTCTGCAGCCGGATTGCCCTCTTGCCCCTGCCCTTACTGCCCACCCTCAGAGTGGAGAGGCTCGAGGACCCACGTTAGCAGAGCTCAGCGCTCAGAGCTGCAAGGGGTCTTCTCCACCGACAAGAGGCGCTCGCCGCAGGGGCGTGGCGTGGGCGCGGGGTGGCTTCTGTGAAAGCCCGCGTGTGGGCCACGTGACCAGATAGGGCGGGCCCCAGCGGATTTTAACATGCAGCAGCTACAGCTTTTGACTTTAGTCTACTCACACATATTGTTGGCAGGATTAGCTCGTGTTGGAGTGGTTTAACAGACGGTATTCAGGAAAAAATAAGCCTTTTCTGTATTTTGGAAATTGAATTTTAAATATCTACAGCAGATCATAGCTGAATCCTTTGATGAATTGCTGTATGAGAGCGTGTTTATTATTGTCTTTGCTCTATTTGCCCTGTGGCCAAGTCTGCAAAGTTGGCGCTAAAGTTATAATCCAGGAGTTATGTTTACTTAAAGGAGAGTTTTTTTTTTTTAAATAATGAAAACATGTTTCTAAACCACAGGGATAATTTTACACCCTGCTTATAAAGTGATTCTTAAAATCAAGTTAATGAGATGTGCTTTGGGGACCCTTCTGGCCTTGAGGCCATTGTGTGGGGCTGTCCCTGAAGGTCCAGATACAATTTCTTGAGGATTTATTTGTAGTCATCAGTCCAGGATACTGAAGTTGTCTATTGTACAAGTATCTTATTTGAAATGCACGCTTGCGGGGGTGGGGCATTGATAGCATAAAGCTCGTGTCAGTAATTGCAAGGAGCAGGCAGTGCTTCTGGTGGGGAAGTGGTGTTTGTGGAGCGGCAGGCTGCTGCTCGGCTCTGCATCACCAGCCTCCTCACTTTCTGGCACATGCTGGTTTTATAATACTTTTTGACACATTCATGTCTGCTTTAGAAACAACCCAGTAAAGTGGCTTTTATTTTAATCCCCATTTAATAGACGAGGAAACTGAGACTCAGAGAGGTTAAGTGACTTGCTTAGTATCACACAGTTAGACTTGGGATTTGAACCCAAGACCTCCTATTGGAAAGTCAGTGAGTGTTTAAATTTTGTGTGCCCCCTAAACACGCAGTGGCCCTTGGGTCTTTGCGTGCCGGCACTCCCTGGTGTGCCCGCAACAATGCAGCCTCCTGGCTTCCCACCCCCTCAGTGTGTGGGCATCTCCGAGGAAAGTAAATGCCTCCTGGATTTCTTAATGTACCATAAAATTTGAAAAACTAGCTTCCTAGATTTAGATCTGTTAAAATTGGTGATGGGCCATGCATTTCTGGTACATTTCTACAAATGTGCATCATTAACATCTGATGTTAGATTTGGAGGACAGTTGTTTTATTATTTAAGCATATTTTCAATTGACAGCTGTTAAACCCCCCAAGAGAGGGAAGACTGTCACTGGTATCACCTGAGGTGAGTTTAGACGCCGTGGCCAGGTTTTGACAGGCTTTGTAATTATTTTAATGCATATGCAAAGAACTAGCACATCAAACTCGTGATTTAATGGATGATACTGCTTAGAGTCTGGCAAAGTATGCAAAAGGAGGGCCTTTAAGTCAGTAGGAGGGCAAACAGGCCGAGGAGCTGAGCCTGGTGGTGCTCAGGCCACCAAATTAAACTCGCAGAGTTGATTTGTGAACTGACAGAAATCTGGGAAACGCGTCCCTGCTGAAAGAGTAGGTAGCTGGTAGGTTGAACTGCCCCTGCTCTTATGCCAAGGCATCCTGAAAATCTGCCCGGTGGTTAAGACTGTTAGAAGAAGTGTAAAAAAGTGATCTGCTTTGTCCCTCTCCTACTACCAACTCAGTTACTTTTATTTTTTTCTGGGCTAACACAGACCAAACATCTCACCCTTGAACTTGTCAAAAATGTTAAGAATAAGATCTGAAAGTAATGTTCCACAGGTTAGGAGAAGTACTGGACTTACAAGCTGTAAGGAAACCTGACTAGGAACTATTAGTATCTACGGCGGCTAACAGGTGTCCATTGTTTGGCAAGTGGAGCTAGGCTAGGACGAGGTGCCGCCCGCAGTTCTGCACCCTCCAGAAGCCTGCAGGGTCAGCGTCCTCATTTGTAAGGAGAGTTTGGATTGGAATATAAATCTCTAAATCGCTTTCTTTCTAGAATATTCTTCAATTCTGTTTTATCTAAAAGGGTTTGATTCTGGCCAGTCTTCAGGAAAGTAGAACATTACAGTTTTCATCTGGTCCCTCTCCTTTCTCTGGCTCTCCTGGGCTCCTCCCATCTTGGCCTCTCTGTTCTGCTGCTCCTGCACCCTGGCTACCCTCTCGCAGTAACCAGAGCTCTTGTTTAAACACTGTGAAGTGAAGGGAGAAAATCGATTCCTGTACTCAGTTTAATGATTTACAGTGACTGCATTCTGGAGGCTCAACACAAAAGCCTTCCTTCCACATGCTTGGCCTTGGGTAATACAGCCTGAACTGAGTACTAACCTAGGGAAAGGCAAACTTATTTTCTCATCATTTTAAAAAAGTGTTTTCAAGGGCCTCCCGGGTGGGGCAGCGGTTGAGCGCTGGGTTGCGAAGCTGCCCGCAGCCTCTGCAGTGCCGGTTCGATCCCCGGCCCCCGGCGAGGGTCCCACATGTCGCGCAGACCTCTCCTGCCGCGCCCGCTGCTCCCCTCAGCAGTGTACTTCGTCACTATGCCTGCTCTGCTCCCCGCTCCGGCTCTGGTGAATTCTCTCACCCTCCCACGCTTCTGACTGTACCCAGTGCTTATATAAACAAATAAATAAATCTTTAAAAAACAAGTGTTTTCAATTGGCAAGTGGAGGAGCAGAGACGTGACCCCATTCAAGTTGTGCAGGTGCCACCCAGCGCTGAACGGACGCGGGGCTGGTCTGGTGTGCTTCTCACTGGGCGGCACATCTCGGGAAGCAGACTTGGATTTCGGGTTTTTATTGACATATGTGTCTCATTTTGAGGTTTTTGAAATCAGCCTATGCATGTGTTTTATTGATTTTCTGCTGGCTTTTTTGAGATGTAATGAATGGATGATAAAATGCACATAGTATTTCGGATTATTTTTAATGATGATACAGCCTCTATCCCGTGGTCTTTATCCTGAGTAAAAGTTAGACAGCTAATGAGAACCTTGGATGATCTGTTTCCATAGAACTTCTAGTGAGGAGATGACTGGCTTTCCGACTTGGGAATGGGGACCAGAGACAACTGGAGTCTTCCTCTGTCACCACTGTTGGCTTTTGCAATGCCCCAGCCACTCTGAGGGCTGTCCCTCTGCCCCGGGCTTCCTGGTGCACCCACTGTGCATACACTTCGGGGTGGCGGAGGTTAGGGAGGACAGCACTGGAAGCGGAAGCAGGCTCCGACTCCGGCTCCGGCGTGAGAAAGCTTGCCTTCTCCTGGCGTGGTTAGCAGCTGCAGGCAGGGCCTGTGCCCCTGCCTCACCCTCCCCTTGAGGACCAGCCAGCTACCTTTTTGCACTGGGAGCTGCCCCTTTTGGGGCAGTAGGCGCTGGGTAAGGGGTGCGCGCCCAGCTCTCCGTGGGGCCGCCACATCAGCGAGTTGAAGTCTGGAGTCCCAAGTACGACTGGAAATGTCATTTCAGTACAAGCCAGGTTACGATTTGTCGTAACCGAACTGCGCTCTGGGTCAAATGTGGGGGCTTTTGTGGATTTGGTTTTGTTTCTGTGGGAGCAGAACTGCCTTTTTATGCCATTGTTTCCGTGGGGAAAATACATCCAGTATTCCAGACAGACACAGGGACTGTTTCAAACCCAGCCGGCTC